ATTAATTACCCAGCTTAATCCCGTCTAATGCCCATCTCTGCCTGTTCTATGTCCATCTCCCGCCTTTAGCCAGCCGAACGGACAAATAACGACCCTCTATCACGCAGCATTCGTGACTCGTGAATCCCGGACACCGGCTGACGGCAGCTCACACCTCACAGCCGTGAATTGGGTAGTCTCCAGACAGACGGTGGGTCTCCGCCGCCGCGCAGCTGCCCTCCAAGGCTGCAGGAGCTCTGCGGGCCGCCACTGCCAGCCGACCACCGGGCAAGGTCACGCACGGCCCGGCGCGGCCTTGGCGTTGGAGGTCGCCCCCGCCCCCGCCCCCGCCGCGCCGCCGGCGACGCACACCGCCGCCGACCTTCTGCGGCTCCGGCGCACGTGCGTGGCGCATGACGTGCCGGCAGTGGCCAGTGGGATCGGTGTGGGGTAGGACGGCAGGGAGGTCACGGGAAGCCAGACTGTTCTGGACAGGAGGGTGGAGCGCGACGGAAGACGAACACGGAAGGAACACGACATGATATGCGCGACAGGGAGAGCCTTGAACGTAGTATAAACATTATTACCATGAGGCATTGTGCAACCACGTTCGCTGAACGCTATGGCAACACCAACTGCGCTTATGCACGGCAGCTGAGTGAAGGGATATTATGATTGATGATCATGCTAGCTGTGGTGATTCATGAGTTTTGGTGGTTCCGCTCACTGAACACCACCGTTTGGCCGAGCGCGGACTGTACTACATTTTCGTGCCGATTGCACTTGCACGACAACAAACGACCCTAGAATAGCCGTGTCTGGCAATGTTTACAACCGCCGCTCTGACATTAGTTCATCCGACCGACGAATCGGTCCGTATTTCACAAAACTCGGCGCGCGCTCAGCGAATGGCAGGCAAGTCAGCCATGAATTCCATCCGGGACGTCGTTGGGAGCCTTCGACGTCGGCGTCAGTCTGCCAGCCCAGTTGGCGCGCCGCCAGCAGCCTTGGAGAGACGCTCCGTCGTGGTCGAACCGCCGGGAGCCACGCGTCCCGTCACCGCCGACAAAGCGGCCCGCTCGGTGACCGCCGGCCGTGACGCTCCAAAGATGGCGCACCAATCGCCGTCACGGACCGAGCCGGCGGCGAATCGTGCGTAACGCCGTGAACGGCAAACGGTACAGCTCGTGAGTACCGCTGCTGCCGGGGGCCAGCTCCAGCCATCTGTCTGCGAGTCTGTCGTGACAGCTGGGGAAGACGCGCAGCAGCCTCAGTCAGCGAGATTGGTTCCATTCGAGGAATGCTATCCAGGAACGCGTAATCATGCAGCGTCAAAACGCATAACCGACGACAGGAAATAATGAATGATTCGATCTGGTCAAGTGTTGCCTTTCATAACAGCATTCATGGCACTGCATTGACCCGCCGCAGGTCAGGGCTCGGTGTCAACTGTCATCTGTCACAGACTGGCGGCCCGTCCGCTGTGTCACCCGTACGGTCCTGCGGTCGCCGGTGACACTCCGGTGACACTCCAAGCCTTCCGTCCGGAATGGACGACCGTCAGCGCCGCGTGACCTTTCCCAGAAGTCAACGACCGGGCCAGCGACATGAACCGCCCAAAAAGCGCTACCGACCGGCGCGCCCTCTACAAAACACCGCCCTGCCACAAAACAGGCCCGGCCGCCGCCGAGGTCGCGCTCCTCTGCAGTTGGCCGCGCAGGGTTCAATAAACTCCGGGCTGCCAGCTCTGCAGCCGCCTTTTTCCTTCGTCGCTAGTTGACGCGACTTTGAACTTGCGTCCGTCGGAGGGCTGGGCCGCGCTGGGGCGTTGTTCGATCGGAGGGTGGGTGACGGCACCCAGCCCGCGGCGGCCGGTCACCGATCAGCGGAGACCGATCACGACACAGCGCCGCCGGCCGGCCGGTCATCCGTTACACGGCGTGCGCTATTTTCGCCGCAGCGCCATCGTTGATCACGGGTGGGGTCCGGGGGGCCGCCAGCCGAATTAAGATAAGGTTAATAGGCCGTATCTGCAGCTCTCCCTGAGCCGCGGCCTTGTACGGTCTCCGGGGAGTGGGCCGACCGGCCAGGCAGGCGGGAGGGCTCTCCCCGTCCGGTGCGAACCGCCGCCGAACAGAGCTCAACACTGACGCGATATGCAGTCCACACATGGCTACGCTGGTTGTCACGCATCAGCAGGCATTACAATACAGCAGCAGTGATGATTACCTGAAGTGCCGTGCAGTGAGTGCGACTGGACGGCGCTACTGGGCGGGTCGACGAGGCTACTCGGTCAGTCTCAGTGATGGAACAGCCGGCCACGACACGCGTCAGTCCCCACGCGCCGATTGATTATGTAAACAGCCGCCGAAGTAGGCCATCGGCCGTGTGTTTTAGCCGGACGTCCCGGCGCCGCGGGCACGCGGACACAGGACACAGGACACACACACATATACGAGGGAGGGGGCACGGCGGCCACGGCGTATGGGGAGGTTGGTAAACACATACCACCACCAGCCACTCGGCTCCTGCCCCGGTCAATAGCGCGTCACTGCCGTGCGTCGCAGGGGCGGAGGACGCGCCCCCATTGCCGGGTCCTGGGCGACCTGATGACGCAGCGATGTCGGGACTGACCCGACCGAGCCAGTGGCTTATCGCTGCGCGGACAAAATAAAATATGTCACTACGGGGCGGCAGTGATGCCCTGCAGACCTCGCATTCAATGGCAAAGTGAGGTGTGAAACTGACACCGTCGATACCATACCAGCTGACGACACGTGATATGATTAAACCAGGGCATCTGGGCTACTCCCCTTCTTGGAAATGTCACTACGATCACGTCACACCTCTGGATGGTGGTGTCGAAATAAAGACGTCTTTATGTTCAAAATATTCTGGCCCAGTGACGTCGAACTGCTCAACAAACTGACGTAACGCCGACAGCCGCGGCGGCGGCAGATCTGTGCCACCGTGAACCCGACGTCCCTCTGGCCCCACCCTCGGTACCCGTGGGTTGCTGCGCTTGGGGTACGCGGTACAGCGCCGGTACAGTGGAGGGAGGGGTAGGTATACGGGCGGCGCCCGGTCCGACCGGGCGGGTCAGGTCGACCTTGGCTGTTGAAAGTGGCCGGTCGTCCGCGGCACAGGCGGGCGGGCCGAGCTGGACGAACAGCGGCCGCGTGTCCAGCGCGGTTGCGACATCACCGAACGGACAAAGATGAGGTTCTGTTCTACAGGACGGCGGCGGTGGCGAGGGTGGCCACTGACCAGTGGACTGACCACCCGTCCCTCTGCCCGTCAGCGATATACGCGTTCAGTCCCCAAAGCACGAGGCAGAGACAAATGGCCGCTTTAACCCTCGCCGGACCTATTGGTTTTCTACATACGCGCCGGCCGAGGGGGGGGGGGGGGCGGGTACGACCCCCCCTCGCCGTTTCGCCCCTGGTGGAGCTAGCGCGTCGCGGAAAAAACGAGCGTGTGCGCCGTTACGAGACGCAGAGATTGGTACCCGATTTTAAGGTCCTAGGTCAACCGGTGACCTCTGAGGTCAGGTCAAGTGCCCCAAGGTACGGTTCAGTTTTTGGTGAATAACTTCGCAAAAAAACGGCCGCAGAGCGCCGATTTTGGCAGCATCGTGTTCGTCTCGCTCAGGCGCGTCGAATGGTATACTTTTTGTCCGGGTCAGGTCAACTTGGGGTGTTGACCTCAGGTCAAGGTCAGGTCAGCACCCCCAGGTCACGAAGTTGGTCGAAAGAGGTCATGTCGCATATCATTCGATTCGGCAGGTCTTCATGAGTCCATTGGTGGCTTTTCCGACTCGCTAGCTCAATTTGATCAAGAGTTATTGACGAAAAACTAATATGACCTTGATGACGTCATAAATGACGTCACGCAAGGTCAACATAGCAAAAGTGACGCATCTAACCTTGCAAGGAGTGCATAAAATCACGATTCTGTGTGCTTGAGATAGTTGGAGATCGTTCCCGGCGCCAGAATAGCAGTTTTCATTTTTCCCCATTGACTTATAATGGTGAGGTCACGAAAATGACCTGACCTCATATGACCTTTAGAAAAAATCCGAGATATACAAGTTGTGGGACTCATAATGGATACTAGATCCTGCAAGTTTCATTTCCCTGTGACATCTCCTCTGGCAGTGAGGGCGTTGCGAAGTTGCGACATCTGAAGACCGTGCAGAGGTTCACTTATGACGTCATAGGTCAGTGACCTGACCTGACCCAAAAATGCGGTTGGTGTCAAAAGATGCGGCTTGGATCAAAGGTCAGGTATGCCAAGTTTCAGCTCTCTATCGCCAGCGTGTTCGGAGCTATCGCGAAAAAACCCTATGGGGGGCGGCACCCGCCCCCCCCCTCGGCCGGCGAGGGTTAAATGGATGTCATCGCCTCTAAGGAGAATATAATACCCCTAAGCCGAATTGAAGACCTCCTAATATGACGCCAATGGAAACTGATAGCCATCGGGGGCGTATTGATTTTTCAGAAAATGAGCGTACTCATCGCCCAATAACTTCGCATCTTCTGTTGAAATGAATGACCATTTTGTCGTCTTTCTGGTGCCAACATTTGCTCGTAAGCAAAACTTGTAATCACGCCGTGGGAACTAGTAATCACGCCAATTAACACCCTCACGCTAGTTAACTCAGACCAGCTGACAGCTAAACGGAGAACCCGTCCCTCACCCCTGCCCTCCCCGTGTACCACACCCAACTACCTGGCCTGGGCGACGGCCAGTGATTTCGTAACCACCGTGGACCCTCATACATCGTGTGACCCACCGCCTGACTGACTGACCGGGTCCAAACCGGAGCGTACCCGGAGCACCGGCCAGGCTCTGGGTCTGTTGGGTACGCGGGGTATCGGCCAGGTCTGCTCAACGGCGTGGCGTTCCAGGGGGCTACACAGACCCTTCCGCCACGGCACGGCACGACTCGGCACAGCACGGCACGGCCAGCCTCTCTACATTGGCTTGCCTGTATTGGCCAGCCCGTAGTTCCAACTTACCGTCTCGGGACATGCCCAGGGCGAGACATTTCTGCAGTCGGCAGTACTGGCATCGGTTCCGATTGGTCCGGTCAACGACGCAGTTCTTCTGTCTGGGGCACTGGTAGTTGCCGGGGCTGGACTGTGACCGCCGGAAGAAGCCCTTGCAGCCTTCGCACGTGATCACGCCGTAGTGCACACCGGATGATTTGTCGCCGCACACCTTGCACGGAATTATCTCAATTTGCGCTGAAACGGAGCGCAAATAACAACGGTTAGATGACGTTAAGTTGGCAGCGATCACACGTTCAACGCATTATATGAAAGTATTTAAACATTAAATGAAATTAGCTTGCAAATATTAACATAATACGTAAATTGCCCTTAGGAATATTGACGTTTTAAGTGAAAGCTGAAGAAAAGATCGCAATAATAACGGAAGTCAAAGATAAAACTGAGCATTTGAATAACAGAAAGTAATTTAAAACTGAGGAACTAAACGTACCTAATGAATAACAAGGAAAATTGATGCAATCATGATGCCTCACAGGTGAGAATGCAAACCACAAAATAGTTAAATGCAGACCACGATGCACGTAAGCCCACCACCAAACGGCGCTAACGGTCGCCACTTACACGAGGGAATAAAGCTGTTCTTATGCGGAAGTTCTGAGAGCAATCTTGATAACCATAGGGCCTCCGAACAAGAAAACCGGTAAAGTGGACCAATCTTCCCTAGTGAATCGTATTGTGCGTCTTGGAGCGGGGCGAACCACCTTGAATGGACGCTTCTCCCCGGTCTATACACCGGCGGTCGACAAACCAGAGGGTCTATCGCCACCCCGCCTAGTAACAGCCCAAGGTGCCAGCACCCATTCCGACCCGACGATTAGAGGGAGAAGCCGACAAAAAACCACCCGGCCCCGAGACGCCGGCAGGGGACAGCCGTGAAAAAAGCGTCACGCGCTCTGAGCCGGCCGCTCTCAGGTCCTGGAGTCGGTCCAGGGAGGCTCGTCGGCGGCGCCGAGACTACCGCAAACAGCCGCTCAGTGCTCCAGTCAGCTACTAAAATAGCTCACCGTAGTTCTAACGGAGCGCTGGAAATATGATTTACCGTCATTTCAGCTGCAACGTCGATAGATATGTCCAAAATGACAGTCGACCTCACGGAAGCCTACGGACTCTGTGGTCGTCGCCTTCTAGCGACTCTGTGACTGTCGTCTTCGGCACCACGAAAGACAGCGGCAGACCCAGTTGGCAGCGTAAAGACAAATACGCCGGCTGCGATGACAGCTAGCGATAACAGCCGCTGCCGAAGCGCGCGGAAGCGGCAGGGCGGAACGACAGTTAGCCGCCGGTGGCAGCCGCCTGACGCAGCCAGCTCGAGCAACGGTGCCTCGCGTCAGTCACAGAAGCGGAGCGGGTCGCCCGGAGCGAGTCGCCGGCACCGGCGCGTCGCCGCCGATTCCGCCCCAGTATAGCCGGCCGTCGGCTCGTCCAAATGGCATTACGGCCGGCCCTACGTGATGTCATTACACGCGGGCCGGGCGGGCTCGGGCGGCGCGGCCGACCGCCGCCCGTCGGTGAACGTCGCAGGTATGGGGTCAGCGGCGGCATTGCGGCATTCCTGGCCGACAGGATCGACGTCACAGGACCACCCAGCCGGGACAGACAGAGGGGCAGCGAGAGGGCTTTGTTGACAGGTCAGAGATGTTATGGAGACACACCGGCCATGACTGTTATGGTATCAAAATTCTATTAGAAGCGAGTAGAAATTTCACAGAAGCCTTCAGCGGAAGGGTTACTCCAAGAGCCACCGTATGATGACACGAAATCATCGTCTTAGTCATACACAGGCCCAGCAACAGACAACAGTTTCTCTTCGGGAGTCTCCAGAAACGTCATGTCGGCGACTACCGGGCACCGCGCGATGACGCATACTTTCACCAGTGACTATCTGTCGGCGTCCGGCGGCGCGCCGCTGTTCGGAGAAGCCATTTCAACCGCGCCGCCGATCGACCGCAGCCCGTGCAGCGGAAATACCGGCGTGGGTCGCCGCGGGCCGCCCGTGTGGCGGCGGACGGACCGCGCCGGTGACCTAGCGGTCCGCTCAGCCTCCGGTGCACCCCGTGGCACCGTCAGACGGAGTCCGGGAACACAGACAGGTATAGACATGACCGGTCCGGACTCCGGGGCATGACTGGCCCGGGAGGTCCCGCGACGTGGCGCAACCCTCCGGCAGTCAGGTCAGGTCCGGTTCCGCCGGCGCGGGGTCAACCGGACGTGGGCTGCACACCTCTGCCGCAGCCAGAGGTCACCGCACTCATGCGTATTCATCCCGGATGTGGTGTCTGCAGATACTGTGGAGAAGGTCTTCCATGACAGCCACGAACGGGGAAGGACGGTGCCTGAGGTCGCCGAAGGAAATGCTACATGAAGCCGGAGGCCTATATGTAGAACGCCAACAGGATACGGACGCAGGACCTCTGACAAACCGCACACGTGAGGGAGGGGTTGAACACACTGCCTACAGGAAAATGCATGGCCTCTGTGACCGGTGGTGGTTACGGCGCTACCTATAGCAGCGATTCAGTCCACAGCTGGGAGCTGAATGGATCCGGGAGAAGCATCTTGGAACTGGGAACCTCCCCGTCGATACCTGAACCATGAACGAATTCCGCTAACACCTCAGTATCCAACTCGAGCGGTGACACGTTCCCTGCTGGCCGCCGCCACCGCCTGGACGTTCCGTTTGTTTTTGAACCCGCTGCCGACCTTGAGCTGGCGGCCGGCGGCCGGCAGTCGAGCCGACCTTGAAATCGCATTGACCCCCTCGGCGGCCGTAGTAGCGTAGTAGGGCCGACCTCGCGGAGCGCCGCCGTCCTCAATGAGTCAGCTGGAGGCACCGGCGTCACCGCCGCCGGGCCTAGCGACAGCGGAGGGGGCAGGGGGCTGCACTGCACTGCGGCCGAGATGGGGCGCCGCGAGTGGGGCACCGGGGTCGATGACAGGCAGCATATGAAACAGTTATACGGCCGAGACTGCATCAGGGGCACGCGATCCGACGGCGGGAGCCATGACGCATGCACGATCCGGTTACCGTCGCGTGAAGATAGCCGCCTTCTGCACGGATCGCTGCCCGTCGAACATCGATCGCGTGCACACGTGTGTTGGCACCGCCGCAAAGACAAGCTCGGAAGTAGGAAGCGGAAGCCCGCGCGGCCGCGGCGGCCGAGGGCGTTGCACCCCAAAGCCACGCGCCAATCGGAGGGGTTCGGGACACCACGCGCCCGCCGCTGCTGGCGGACGGACGCCACGATAGTGACGAGTCAGCAGGTGTTTTGCAGCGGCCGGCCCGCACTGCAGGCGGCGGCGGGGTGGTTGCACTCTGCGGCGCGGAGGGGAGGCAGGGCGGCGCCGGCCGTCTCTGGCGGGCCGGACCGGTCACCGGGGAACCGGAACACGATGGCGCACCGGCCTCTGCAGCGTCGCAGGTCCAGGCGCTCTGCCGGCGGCCGACCAGTGACTCAGGTGAGGAGGCCGGCCGGGGTCAATGACACCGGATCCGGCGGCCGTGCAGAGCGGCTGACCGCTGCGGCGCAGCCGAACCGGCACCTGCCAAACATACACACATAGACACACACATACCGGCGCGCCCGACCGCCGGAACGACCGGCGATAACCGCTGCGCGCAGAAAACCCGGAAATAGAAACAGGCACCGGACAAAGGTCGTCGTCGAGTCGAGTGACCTAGGACACGCATACCTATTATATGCATGGTCGGTAAGTTACTCAAAATGATAAAAAACATGAGAAGTTAATTAACATTTTGCTATCATATTCCACCTCCCATAATGGAAGAAGACACGGAAACCGCAACTTTTTGCTGCGGTCATTTTTTGTTCAGGAATTCAAGACGCTGGGTGGGGTGGGAGGCGCGAAGAAATTCCTCGCCGCTTTTGACGCTGGCGCGTGGAGCGCTAACGGTCGGCGGCTGGCTGGTAACAGCGTGCCGGCACCGTTGGCCGAGGCTGGGAAGCGTCGAACAGCGGGACCGATGGAGCGGAGGCAGCGCGGCCGTAAAACGTACCCGGGCGGGCGGGAGGCACCGTTACGGCCGCCGGTCAGCCCAGCCGGGACTCGGAGTGAGCCCGCACAAGCAGCGCAGCCCGCAAACGGCATCCGATTCAGGAGTTCCCCTCAGAGAGACCAATGCGGAATATATGCATGTTGCATAGGCTTATCCATTGTTTGCATAACACAAAGCTTCATTGAAGATGGATGAACTATCTTGTACATACCCTAAGACATAGTCAAAGCTGTCGAAAAAAAAAGATAAAATAGGGGAGAGCGGGGCCAGTTGAACCACTTTTTATATATTGACATGCACAGCGAGATCTAGTTGTCATATCGAAAAATGCACAATGCCATGAAAAAATATGCTTTTTTGGCTTCATTTTAAGATATGTAAAATTATGTTTCAAACATATTTTGGTGCCAAACGCATGCTTATAAAACAGCACTACGCCCGTTTCAAATGACCCCGATGCGAGGGTCAATTGAACCAGCCCATGGGGTCAATTGCACCTATCCTTAACAATGGGATGTTTTCCTCTTTAAGGCCACTTTCTTAAGGAGATATTTTGTCCGGTTTACTTTTCCAAATGCTACATTCAATAGGTCGTTGGAAAGCTAAAAGTGCAAAGTTCCTCATAATAGGTGACATAAAGTACATAGACTATGGTAAATTGGGCGGATGAGGATAATGAGAAATATCTCAGGCTATAGTGTGCTTTCAAGCAAAAGGTTGGAGAAAAAGAGGTCAAAAAAATGAGCTCTATTAATCTACTATTTCAGTTTAAAAGCTCATTTCAAAGGTGGACTATTTCCTTTAATGTTTACAGCCCCTGAACAATAACCATTGCAAAGGTCACCGGGGTCCATTGAAACGGCCTGTGGCCCTGTTTCAACTGACCCTCAGAGAAGCGTTTCAATTGACCCCATCCGCTCCCGCCATCTCGCACGCGCCGTAAAGCACATGTCAAACGAGCTGGAGGGACGACATCATGCTGAATGAAGGGCCAAATAAGGTGTTATTCCGGAGCCAGGAGTTCTTCTTTCAGCAAACAAAGGTATATGAGATATCACAAAATATTCATAAAAACGATTTCTCCCAAACGCCCCTCAAAAACACAAAAACAAGTGTCAAATCAAAATTACCGTCCGTTTGCCGCCCAAACGCCGTTGACAAAGGAAGTGGTCGAGCGCGGATGCGCAGTGGTGTCGGCAACGCCATATGTTGCATACTGTTGAAAATAAAGCCATGTTTCATCTGACCCCGTGTTTCAACTGGCCCCGCTCTCCCCTACATAAATAGGTTTACGAACTCCACGCACTGCCGCTACAACATCACTTATCGACCAAAAATTCCTGCACGATACTGAATGCAGGTCACGAGAAATACTAGGAAGCAGACCGATCTATTTGTGACCAGACGACTAGACGGCGCCATGAAATTGTGTCACACTGCCGGAACAGAGTTACCGCAGAGGCTGACACAGGACTTCCTTCACAACCGAGATGAAAGCGTTCCAAGAAGTCGCCGACTGTCATTGTACGTCGCGTCACCAGCACTCAGAAGGACGACCGAATCCAGGGCACAACATCCTGCCAGGGCCGCCAGTCGGATCCACGGACCCCTGTCCACAGACGGAACTTACCTCTGTTATACTGGACACGCACAGTAGAGCTCTTCTCCTTCTTGATCTTAGTCGGTCGTGGTGAGCCACTGGTAAGCGATGACGACGCAGGAGAGACACGAACGTCCGGCCTGACCATCGGCATCGGCGCCGGCACGGGCACCAGAGCCGGCATCGGGGCCGGCGCCGGAGTCGGCGGGGCCGGGGACGGCGCCGAGCTGGTGACGACCGGCGCGTCGGACTCGGCACTCAGCCGCTCCGGCTGCGCCAGGTCGCGCTCGCCGTCCTTCAGCAGGGCCACCTGCTGGGCGGCCAGGCCCAGCTCCAGCAGCAGTTCGTCCATCTCATCCTGCATCACCAGTTGACCCACGGAGTGCATGGCGTCCTGTCCGCTGCGCGCCGCGCGCTCCTCACTCGGTCCAACACGCACCGGGCACCGCACTGCACTGGCAGCCGGCGCCGCCGCCACCCGCCCGCCCGGTCGGCCGAGCCGCTACGCCGCGTGACGTAGCCGCTTCCTCGTTCCCTGCGGCCGCCTGCGAGCGGCGCGCGGCGCGTTATTCACCTTCTTGAAATCCAAACGGGGTCAACAAACGATTGCATCACAGCGGCCTGCACCAATCGGCGGCTGTGCGCGGCTCGTGTGCCCGCGGGCACGACCGGCGGGGAGCAGGAGGGGCGATGAGCAGCGCAGGTAGCCGGATGCGCCGGTGGTCGCAAGAAACGTCGCCCTCACCCGGATAACGGTCGGGTCTCGGCCGGCCGCCCTCGCGCCAACGGGACTTTGAAGGTACTGCCGGCGGGCACGTCGGCAGGCGCGGGACGCCTGGGGGCTGGTGCGCGACCTCGGGTCACCGGCGGCCGTCTGGTTGCCCTCGGGGCCTGCGTCGGTCGACGGGTTATCGACTCGGACTGCCGCAGCGCCGCCGAGTCTGCTGCAGGCGGCTGTGCGTGCCGCGTGCGGCGGCCAACGTCCGCGCGGTGACGACATCGCCCGCACGCCGCCTGGCAACACCGGACGGCCGGGGAGGGCACACGTGTCGGCGCAGAGGGCACTGCCGGCCACCGGCCACTGCCAACAACTTGCAGCACGCAATTATCCGAAACCACGGGGCGCTTGAAGCGGGAACATAACAGGTGACCATACGAAGATGACGAAGGAGTGAACGAGCCGAACTACCATCAAACAGAACAAACGGCATTCGATAACAAAACCTCCATCAACGAAGTGCCACCCAGATCCATCAGCATCAACCATCAATGTGGACAGGACCATCAACCCAAACCTATGCACACAATGCCGTACTATTCATACTCCACCAGATGCTTCTACCACTGCTCGATTCCAGGCGGTCTCGTCCCTACCCTATCTTGCAACACCACCGTTGTAGGAGCGTTGCAAGTTCCGGTTCCTCTGCGCAGCCTAGGTGCGGCGATCCGACGCAAGTGCGCGTCACCAACCCGTCGGTGGTGTCTTTCGTCACAGGAAGCTGACTGACGTGGACGTAGTCCGAAGACAATCGACAGTAGCTGCAAACCAACGTCTGCCGATGGATGTAAGGCTAGTTGACAAGAGTGGATGGGACGTCGCAATGAGACAGGTTTGAATTTTGAAGATTCCTGTCCACTCGGTATGTGAACGGATAATGTATTCAGAGGACGTAAGGAAACATACATAAAGATGAACAGAACAGGAAGGGGGTTGCGTTACGTAAAAATATGCATGTCCTAATCATGCCACCTTGGTAGAAGGGAAGGAAAGGAGGCAGAGCAGAAATATCACTCGAGGGAGGCTGTGGAGTAGAAGACGCATCAAGCATTTGAGTCAGGAGGAAGAAAATAACGCTGCGTACTGCGTAGGCCACAGTTGACAGCTTATTACGGGTCCAGTTCCACTATTTAACTACCATGGGTGATTAACTACTATAACTATGGGTGACTCTGATAATCAGATGTAACTACTGCGAGCGGCGAGCAAGCCTGTGCCGTAACGATTCTTTGGAGAGGCAATTGACATCGCCAGCATCTGGTCACCTGACAGAACCATGGACTTGGACACCCCGGCCTATGATGGAGTCTGCTGCATCCAGCTGCCTCTGCTGCAGCGGCCGAGCCCTGCCGTGTGTACCACCAGCAGATACCACAGGTGGCGCCGGGATCGGCCCGCGCCGCGCCGCGCCGCGACCAGGGGCGCCGGGTCTCCACTCGGTAGGCACTCCTCTCGGGACACACGGAGTCATCGGCCAGAGTCGGCAGCCTTGAGTCGAGGCCACGCGCCACACCTGGCCGCCGGAGGCGACTCTAGCCCCAGTACCTCCTCCTGGCTCGCCGCAGCAGCCCGATGACCCGCCGCAGCCGCTGGACGGGCCTGCTCCGGCAAGGTCATCACAAGCCGACTACACACAGGGCCAACCTGACTGGACAAGCCGCGCAATCTACACACGGGAGGTTGTGAAATAACGAGAACCCGGCAAGAATCGCAAGGCGATATCGCAGCTTTCCTGATAATCTGACGAAAACACGCGTACGAATGACGAAACGACAGCAGTTCTGGCTGAGCCGGACTATGCTGCAGTTGAAGACGCCTGTTGTTGACAGCGATCGCGAAAAGATCATGACGACGTCCCGCTGGATCCTTCAGTTACCACGGGGGACCGCCCATGTGACGGTCAATGGCCATTGTCATGATGTTGTAGCCACTTACATATAACGGTAATTACCTGTGGCGAGAGGGGTGCGCCTGCCACCTGCCCCCCCCCCTCAGGTGGTGCGGGGGGGGGGGGCAGACGGGGGACTATCTCCTTGCCCCGGGGCACTGTTTTCGCTCCCAGGGGTGTCTGGTCGACCCCACGGCCACACCGTCGCGGCAGGTAGCCAAATAACACGGTATGGCACTGGAAATGAGAGGTGGACATGGGAATTGGGAAGGACGCCGTGACCGGGGGGTCGGACGTCGGTACAGGTAAAGAAAGCGACACGACGGACCGAACAACACGCTGAAGAGATGACCAGACGATCCAACTGAAGGAACGAGTCCAGCAGCAGAAGGATGATGATGTTCGTTCGATGCGTCCATTCTGCATTCTCAATGCTTCGCTCATTCTGCTGTCTTGAAAATAGTCTTCCACGTATGATCTCCAATCGAAAGTAGCAAATATCACTTGCATTGCTAATGCGCTTAAAATCGATGTGCATGCAGGTAAATATTCAACACTACTGCTTGCCATGGCTATGTGTTTAGTGTCAGCGGAAATAAAAGTGCTTTTCCAGGCATTAAGCTTATGTACCTACAGTGTGAGCCAAGCAGCGACGTAGGTATAGAACCAAAAGCTCGTAAAAAGACGCTCAAACATCAACATGTTCATGCCTTAGTGTCTAGTAGCTACGGTTTATACTTTATATAGCAGTAGCACACCCAAAATCGATTTAGTCAACAAGTTTCACGTTAGTAATCCGACACCGTGATACCCCCAGAAGAGAAGATGGCATGCGAGTCAATCGGAAAGGACAGTCAACAAATACCCAAGATAGAAACAGAGGGACAGCAAACATAAAAAACTAACTTTTTGCATGTTGAGCCTGCTGCAGGGTTTGCGGCATCAAACAATCAACTAGAAAAAAGGAAACACAGCAACCCAGTAAAAATGTGCACTAAACACTGGCACAAGAACACACGACAGCATGATAAGTCAAAGTAAAAAAGATGCATATCGGAAGAGCACAAATGATCAACTTAAAATGTGTGAGAACATGAAAAATACAACAGAACGCAGCTGAATTGATAAAGCACACGCACGTGGCTGAAACGTCACGCAATCTCGTCACGCTATTTCAGCCCAGCTCGACCGGAGGGGCGGAGCGGGACGGGACGGGGCGGGGCGGGGTGGGGTGGGGTGGGGTGGGAGCATTTCTCTCAGCCGAGCGACTTGCTGTCAGAGTATGTCAGACTACCGAGAAATAACCACCTCTACTCTACAATTAGCCAACCGGAGCTTGGTGAAGGTGTCTTAAAAAAAAAAACATTTTGTCAACCGGCGACTCTATTACCGTAAGTACAATCGGTGTATATCTAAGCAGACCCTTACCTCTACCCCACTGTGTCCCTTACAGCCCAAGCAAGCGTGCCTCCCCACAACCCCAGCGAGCGTGCCTCACCAGCCCCGGGGCGGTGCACGCGGCGCCGAGGGCCCACGCGCACCGGGCGGCCGGCGCACCACTCCGGTACCGTTATACGGCCATTGATCACCGCCCTCCCCTCCCTCACATTATTCCAGCAGGCGCCCATTACGGCGTGCCGGCCGCCGGACCCGCCGCCGCATAGCAGCGGGCCGCGTCACCTCCGGTCCGGTGACGTCACACGCACACGCGCGCGTGCGAAAATGGCCCGTCATGTGACGTCACACAGGTAGAAGCTGCCCGACGTGTGACGTCACAAGGCAGAGGAGACCCGTCATGTGACGTCATACAGGTAGAAATCCCTGTCACAGGTAGAAACTGATCACATGACGTCACACAGGCAGACTAGACCATTAGGAACGCGACGTCATAGAGGTATGTCGGTCTGACGTGTGCCGTCACTGATTGTAAGTCACACATGTGACGTCACATGAGCAGAGAAGACCCGTTGAGTGAGGTCTCAGGTCGCACAGGTAGAAGCGACGCCGTATGTGACAACACACGGGGACACAGGGTGCGACAGGTAACGTCACATCGGTAAAACAGACAGATTATTTCGCACTAATTAAATCGAGTATTTGTGAAATGCGTTAACGGGTATAACTGTTTTCCATGGAAATGGATAAGAAATAGGACTGGCGTTTATGAACGAGACAGAAAAAAATGCTGCACTTGAGAAGTGTGCACTAAAACATTCGCATTCATTGGATACATCAAAACCGTTTATAACACTTACCCATTTTTTATGCACCACATTTATGTAAATAACTACAATAAAATATTTCATGTGCACATAATGTAGTCATAGGTTACACTGAACAGTGAACGTAAGTAACTAAGCGTACCTATTCATTCAAAGAAAGACTACGCCACGACACGAACTGAAAATAATTTCGTGTTCATTTCATTATAGATTGCAGAAAAAAGGGAACACACCTATGGGTAAAATATAAGGCCCATATTCGAAATGGACAATGCTTTTATGAACAACTTTCATGCCAACGACATGAAATGCACCTTAGCTCTATGAGTTAGAATACACGCATGTCACTAGTAGTAGTGGCGGCATTTTCCACCAACTTTCTCAGCCTGCCAACGCGCATGTGAATCTACGAAATGTGCAAAAGCCGCGCGCGTCTACAGCCGTTACCGTCCGCACGCATACGGGAACGGCATTGTCACACATCCTGGCCGAGCTGCTTCCCATAATTGGCAGAGAAACGTCTGATGTAACAGTCACTGACGACCACGGGAGCGTCCAATGGCTACGGATACCCCGCCGGGTGCCGGGGGCACACCACACCCAAACCAGACCACGGAGTGGCCAGACGGCCCAGTCGCCCCCTATGGTCTCCGAGCTGATTTCATCTGACCGCTCACGATTGATCAGCTACGCCGCGGCCACTCCGAGCTCAGTGACGCGTCACGACCCGATCCGTGACGTCACAGCCAGTCCAGTGACGTCACCGGTCACTGGGACCAGCCGGAGCGTTTCGCAACTTTTCTGTAGAACGCCCAAGGCGAGTCTTTATCCCAGCTGTATACACACACCGGCCAGAAAACACATCGAGCAGTGACAAATAAAACACCGAGTGCTCTTTTTGTTGCTATTTTTGCCAGCGTTTTTATCTGGGTACGCGCTTTAGTATGCACCGCGCTGTATCTTTAGTGAATGCACGGCGTGACCCACTTTCGCGGCGCCGGCGCAGAGGCAACCCCAGGTACGGGCTCAGTGGCGGCGGCGGCAGCGGGACTCGGGTTTGTTGCGTCACGGTGTTGGTCCGTGACACGTGAATAAACACGTGAAGATATTCATGGATTTCTAACCATATTTTAGTATCCACGCGAGTGAAAATGAAACAAACCTGAACCGGGATGCGGTGTCGGAACAGGTACAGAGTAGGAACTCGGTAAAAGTAACAGGAAAATAAGGAAATTATATGTGAATAATTAAGGAATACACGGAGGACGAGAAAAAAACCGAGAAATGATCACAAAGGTAAGCGCTTAGTGAACATTAGTGAAATAATTTTCATGATCAAAATAATGCTACAATTCTACAATGGAACGTGATTAGACGGACCATTGTTTCACACAGACTATCACGAGCTGCCCGCAGTGCCCACCCTCTCCACAGATCGGTCTCAGACCGCCGCCGCTGCAGCCGTCGGCCACGGCACTTGTCTCGCCAAACAGATGGTTTTGGTCACGGCTGGCGCACCCGAGGCATGCTAATGCAACATTGGCTGGTCGCTCTCATGACAGTGACTTCTGGCGGTTTTCGGCTCGCACGCCGATTGGCGCAGCGCGGGAGCGGGGCCCCGGTTACCTTGGACCGTCGAGACCGACAGGGCCGACCTCCTCCCGGTCGCACATGACCGATCGGTCAGTGGGTGCCGCGGCTCGGACACGGGCGCGAGGTGTGGCCCACCGGCCGAGTACACGGGTGCACGGGGCACACCCGTGACAGGCCGTACAAATGGTCTCGTCAGCTGGCCAGCCGAGAGGCATTGTTGTGCGCGGCACAGGCTAATTACATGACATTGCAGGCCGCTGATAATAAATAAACCAAACAATCGACAATCAATATTTGTAGCGCGGACAAGACAACACTAATGGACCCATACAATCCATGACGGGGCTGGGAAGCACGGACGGCGATTGCGTAGTTATCGTTTATGATAAGGGTTTCGTAAAGATTTGCAGAACGATAAATATGATTAAAAAAAAACTGGACGATGATGACTTATTGTGGTTAAAGCGTAGATACGAGCATACAAAATGTAGCAGAAAGAAAACAAATGGTTTGTTTCCTTCGTACAATATTCATTGTAAGTAAGCTTAAAGAAAGAAATCGTCCTAAAACCGAAACAAATGGAGGAGCTCCATTTTTTTAACGACTTATGCGTCTTCTCAGAAAGGCAGGGCAGGTGGGCGTTTGTCCTCCCGAACAGTAGTTATCTTTTTTAAGAGCGAATTGAGCAGGAGAGGCAAGTGTTCTAAAAATATTGTAATCAGTTTAGGACCAACAGTGGATCGAACAAGTTTTAATCAACAAGCTGACGTCTGACAGCCATGACGATATTGAAAAAGATTTCCCGAAGATAGCAGAATACGATAAGAATGCCAATGGACAACGTATGCAATGCAGGCAAGACAAAGTAATGGCAGGCCAAGCCTCACCAGACGTTGATCGCAACGGTTATTAACCAAGTATACGACCATTTACATAACGCGCGTTTTTACCCGTAACAAAACGGCATTATGCAAACATATCTCGTTAAGCGATAATCAGCTCCCGATATTTTATCCCGCACTAATGAGTACGCAACGACCTGATGAGTAGAATCGAAGTGCCATTCCGACCGCCAACCACTAAACGACTAAGTACCTATCTCCGCCCGGCAAAAAGCGAAGCCGGGAGGCTGGGGGTGGGGGACGGGTGCGAGAGGGGGCTCACGACGGCACGCGCCATACATGGCCAGACTCTCAGTCTAGGCCGCGGCCGGCGAGCCCGCTCAGTGTAAAACAGCTGCGCGCGCCGCGTCACTTTCTCTTTCGGTGGTTGCCGACCGACCGCGGCCGCCCGGCTCGCCGACAGCACTATCGGAGCCCCGCCGCGCCGGAGCGACGAGCATACGACGACGGCGACACGACGGCACGGGACACCGCGCCGCCTCAACGGGGACGCAGATTAATTATGGATTGGTTTGGATTAAACCGCGACATTGCAGCAGCTATAGGGAAGATCGCACAACATACTTCAAAGGAGCTTGCTTGCATTGCTTTGTTATATGATACCATGTTCGTTGTCCAAAGCTGCTACGCTTACGACGAACAAAGGAATAGTTACAATTCATACCAAAAAGCCAAAAATTAAAGGTCAAGTGGGACAACCACAATGCAGAATACACAGAGACCTATATGCTGTAGCAAACCCATTCTTCAGTCGAGTTTAGTGGCCTTAGTTTCAGTCCGAGCAGAATGTTTTAAAGCAGAAAGAATAGACCGAAAGTCAAGTTTTTAAACCAAAATTAGCACAATCATTTTATCACGACATACATTTACGACAGACATCAAACTTAAACAGCGATTTGACATTGCACAATGCACAGAATCTGTCAGATAAATGAACACGGCGTCCTGCATCAAGTAGGTACGTAAGAAGTATGTAAGGTAGGTATTAGTAATGACTACCTAGAGTTCTTGCTTTACTTGTACGGTTATCTGCAGGACGACCACCATCCCATTGGTGAATCACGGGATGCCTCGTGTTTAGCCTCCAAATTACCTATACAGAGCACCAAAAATAGAGCAGAATCGACAGTTATAGCATTAGCAGATAATCAATGCCAGAGGATATGTCATTATCCCATGTGAACAATCTCTATGACATCAAAATAGCATTATTTATGTACTATTTAGTAAGCATCATGGGGCACGATAGTTCGTAGTTATCAGATAGTTCGTGCTTATCTAACGAAATCTAATTCGTCCTCATTTGCCTATCAGACACGTTTTGTCAGCGCGCGCGTAAAACACCCTCGTGCGGTCGGAGCATCTCTCCACTCTGCCCACAGCTCTCGTCGTCATCTGGACGAGCCTCTCTCTCTCTCTCTCTCTCTCTCTCTCTCTCTCTCTCTCTCTCTCTCTCTCTCTCTCTCTCTCTCTCTCTCTCTCTCTCTCTCTCTCTCTCTCTCTCTCTCTCTCTCTCTCTCTCCCCCGGACCGCGCCTGTGCCCGGGGCGGTCGACTGTGGACGACCCGATGCCGAACCCTGTCCAGTTGAGTAATCAGCCAGTCCGGAGGGGGGGGGGGGCGGTCACCGAACGGTCACCGAAAGGCGATCGGACGGTCACCGGGGAATCACCGGGTGATCCCGAACACGGTCACCGGATAAACGGCAAGGGCACACGGTCTTAGCTGCCCCCACCGCTGTTCATATCGTTACCGTTTCCATGGACATTGAACACAGGACAAGTATGGAATATAACGTCTAAAGGTGAGGCCAATGGACCAGCGGCCGAGATGGAATGGATTTACCTCTCTAGGATGGGATGAGACTGAGTGGTATGGGATGTGAAAATCGGAGACAGAAAACGGACACTAAAACATCACATTAAGACCTTACAGAAAAAATCTTATAAAATCAGCTGTCGCAGACATTGGACTAGGGATTGCAAGTCTCACAACACTGCAACCAATTGGGTTGTGTATATTGGGGGCAAGGCAGAAAAGAATGGAACAATGGGCATGAATAACAAATAGAACTGGCTAGGCCCATGAGAAGACAAATGAAAATGAGCGCCGTCAGGAAGGCGGTGCGGTCCGGCGGTGGCGCGTCCGGTGCCGGTCCCGGCCGGGGTTCAGGGGGTGCCACGGGTGCCACGGGTGCAACGTCCCGGGGGCGGCTGACCCAGATAGCTCCGGCGAGCCGCCGTGCCCTCGACAGACCCGCCGCCAGCCCAGCAGCGGCCGCCGCCGGCCGGCGGGAGACGCCATCTCCGCCGCTATCGCTCAATCTTGATGGATCATGAAAATGAAAGTCGCCCTTTCGGCGTGCTTTTTGTTCGATCTCCGTTACATCACCGAATTGAGCGGCGGCTGACGCGGGGACGGCGGCCCGGGACCGACAGCGGCATTCCTGACACGCCGGTCGGCAGGCCACTGGACGACTGTTGTCACGGCGCACACTGTCCCTGAGGTATCACAGCCAGGACCAGCCACCACTGCGGCTCCAAGGAACACACACAGGACAGCCAGTGGCTACATGGAGGTGGCTGGCTGAGAAGAGCGTGGTTGTCATCAGCAGCAGTCAGGAGAAAAACTTTACCGCAATGCCGCTCAAAAGAGGAACAACGTGGTCTGGATAAACGTGCAAATACAAAGGCCGTATATTGAGCCAATCCTTGTCACGCTTTGTTGAAAGTAGTATTTATAATGAAGGAATTTCTCTGGTTATTAATCGCTACTGCCACAGTTCACGTTTGATGGCATACTTACGGGCTGGTAACTAGCATCAATTAACTACCAGAATGCCTTACTCACTAGTCACTACTAAAAATGGCAGCACTTTTTGCTCTTTAAGGCAGCGAAAGGTTCCTGAATCCATTTATCGCTCGTCTGCCTGATCAGACCATTACACCGAACCCTGTTTTGTAACTTCGCCGCCGCCTCCAATATTTCATATTCATCCATTCAGGCTGCCAAACGCTGATAGTTTGGTATCTGGGCGACCATACACGTGATGTCTGTTTGCCCAAGAAGCCGACCAAAGCAGTAGGCTCCACAAAAAAGCGGTCCGCGCCTACTCCTCATCACACTAAGCACACTACATTCTCCTCTCCCCTTCTCTCGCCGCCTCTCTCCATCCTCTGCAGAGGATGGAGAGTTTGAGGGGCATGCCCCTCAAACTCTGCCCATCCGAGCGACTCCTACCATCACTCCTCCATGCGCCCGGCGAGCCGCCCCCGGCAGAAGGAGCGCCCACGCTCGGCCCCGCCTCGACCCGACCCGACCGGCGCCCGGGGGCGTTCGTCGCTCATCGGCCGAGGTCGACGACCGGCTCGTCGGCGTCGACGCCGCGCCGGCTGCCTATTTCGACGGCAGCTTCTTGGCAGCGGCGGCGGCGGCGTGCGCGGCCCGGACGCACGCAGACACGGAAGATGCCGCCGCCGCCTGGCCCACGGGCCACCATCGATCGGGACGTAATTCGGACGTTCACGATAGCTCGTCCGGTGGCGTTAATTATGCACGTAGCCAGTCGATGGCTGTTGTCAGGCACACAGTGCTGGTGAGCGCCTCGAACGAGCGCCTCGACCATGGACTGCTCCATTTTCAGTAACAGTGTTGATGTAAATGAGTATAAAAAACTATGATTTGTCACCATTCTTTTTGCTATGTGAATGGCTAGCTTCCGGGACTTCATGGCCCGTATCGACCAGATAACAGAAAACTGACAGCCATATAAATATAGGCTTTCGTTTTGCCATGAATATGACTACAAGACGCTGGTGAAGTTATGGGCAGTTGTTGGCGTAAGAATAAACAACGCGATATAGATAGAAGAACAATTAACGACTCGAGAAAGAAGTGCGGCAAAGCCATTCGTACCCATCGGCTACCACAAGACAATGACTATTTATCAACTGATTAATGACAAAGAGCGTGCACCTTTGCCCGGTTACTCATACATCTCAGGGGCGTATAAGTAATGGGAGAGACCGAACACAGGAGTTTGTGTTCACTGTTCGTTCACTTTTTCACTTGTCATGTAAAGCGACTAGTAGAAAGTGAAAGTCAGTCATATCTACCCACATACCCATTAACAATATGCCGTCTACTACGGTCAGCTCGGTGTGCACAAGGACGGCTCATCTGACCACTTGCCCACCCTCTTTGTTCAACGCATCCACTTTTCTGTCAGAGTGGGCCTCTGAATCGCCGTAAGGGGCCCTTCAGAAATCCATAGACACACCCGCGCAGGAAACGCCGGCCGAAACGATTCATTTCGAGCACTTTCGCTTTGCACGTGCAGCGTTTCGTAACTGTGGGCACTGAGGATAGCCGGCTCGGAATCACAGCATGGCCTCGATCCAGCCGGACCCAGCCCCGATGGAGGTCACTAACTACTATCAGAGCGCACTTCACCACCCATTCGGGCCAGAGCTCCACCTCATCAGCGCGGCCCGCTGGATGCAATGGGGCGAAAGGGAGCGCCAAACATCATTTATAACATTGTTCTCGTGGTGTTGCAGAAATAATGGCACGTAGCCCATTACTGGCGTCTTCTTTACTAGCACACCAAGCGGGTCAAGCTGACGATAAGGCCTCGCATGGCGCAAGCCCGCCTGGAAATACGAGCCAGTCAGCTATCAAATCATGCAGACGCTGGCGGTGTTATGTTGCTGTGCTGGAAAGGTCGTGCGGTCTCCGGCACGTTGTTTTTCCCCCGTAACTCAGAGGTGTACGCCGGTGCAGTCTACCTCGGCGGCTGCAGGCGGCTGCGCGTCGGCCGCTGCCGCCTGCAGTTGGCTCATCGCCTTCGAACGGCTCGCGCGAGAGGCGCAATCCCTGCAACGTGCCCCACATCCCCGCCCAGTTACGGGGAGTGGGTCAGTGGTGTGTCCACTATCCACTCAACAGAACGTCACTGGGGAGGGGTGGACACTGGGGGTGGAGGGGGGGGGGGGCGTGACGAGACTGCGTGACTTTTCAGCCGTCAAAACCTGGTCTACTGAGGGCCAACTGGTGACTACACCTGATTGCGGTAAAACTCTGCCAAATACCTTTAGTTTCACAACCATAATCCTGGCTTTGCTTGAGCAGCTTTATGAGGTGGCAGAGGATTTAGCGGTCCGGCCCGGCGGGGGGCCGACCGACTCTCTCGCCGCCTCGACTAACCTTTAATCGATCCGTTGGCGTTGCTCGGCTGCGACACCTCCACGCTGCTCACATTGGTCCATGTCATGCCTGAATACATGATGGCCTACGACACTCTCTCAGCGTCACCGACACTCTCAATCAGCAGTCTTGTCGGCGATTGCTCGGGTCACTGCAGCGGTGCCTCTCCCGGGTCACCGCGCCTTACTCCTCTCACTATTCACTCGAGATCAGATAGATGCAGCTCTCTCACAGACACAGCCCGCTATGGGCCGCCAGCGCGGGCACGCACCATGACACAGCTGGATGGCGGCGCCGTTAGGTATTATCCTCACACGTGGGCGCCATGTCTCGGCATCGGTGTCGACGGGGCGCGGGCGCTGCCGGCGGCCGGCGAGCCATGCGGGCGCTGCTCACTCCTCCATGGCGCCGACTGGCCGCTCGCTGGCTCCACTCGGCTCCACTGGCGCGGCCGTACGACTGACACAGTTTCGGCGCGGCGACGGCGACGGGCGGCGTGCGCGGCGCGCGGTGCTCGACTGCCGGCCGCCGGCGCCGATCGGCGTCTCTCTCCCTCGCCCTCGCCCTCTCTCCGCGGGCGGTGGGCCCATCGCCGGCGGCGGGGGAGGCCGGCGCGGCGTGTCGCCGCCCCCCGCCCCCGGGCCGTGGCGCCGCCTCTGACACGACACTGCCCGGCTAGAGGAGGGGCAGCGGGGAACCCCTGCAGGTCGGTGTTAGGCCTCCGAACAGCGCCCGAGCCGACCGAGTAGAAAGTAAAAACGCCGCTCTTGGAGATCGTCAGCACGCACTTTCACGAGGGAGAGGCGCGGGCCGAGGCGCACAACGGGCACCGCGCCGCGCGACCTAACCCTACCGAGACACGCAGCTGTGACTGCCGTACAAATCCGCAACTTGGAGAGGACAGCAACCATGCAATATTCTGATTTCTGATATACCGAGCCGGGACAACTCTCATTGAAACCATTTCGTGAGGAAATTGGGCGTCGGAAATCTGTCTCTTTTCACAGCCAGTGGCCCGAGTCAGAGAGAAAAAATCAGCATGCTTCTTGGCACCTAGCAGTTTCTTTCGGCGGCACGTTTGCTTGCGATTGGAGCAGAATACTAAAAGTAACCGAGTTTCAACGCAGTTCAGCGCGAGGTTCAATCAACGGTCCGAAAGAACGGTCCGTTTAGTTCAATGGTTTCACCTGCCGAAAAATTGTAGATAACAACGACACAAAAGTCGAACTTTTTCACTCAGATTTAGGGTTGAGGTGGAGCTTAGTGTGTGTGCACAAACATGCCATCAATGACAAAAACACAAATTTTACGTGAACGTTCTTGAAAATGCTGCTTAGTTCTGGAATCTCAAGCGGCGAAAGTTATTTTTTATTTTCAATATTTCGCTTGTATTTCCTGAATCGCTAGCCCTTGGCTTTGACTTATGCTTACCTATTATATGTTTATGCTTGCATTGCATACGTAACATTAGGGTACATTTAAAGGCTACTAATATCTAAAATATCTAACATAAGCGGCAATATGTCGATGCCCACTGCGCTGAGCCAAACACTTAATACATACGAACAGCAGTTTGTGGAGCTTTCGTGGAACCCCGTTCCGTTCAACAACCTCGCCTGCTGGGTTCAACCCACACAATTCAACTTCATTATGTCTCATCTAACTTTGGGGAAAGAGAAAACTTCCGCGTAGGTTATCGCTGTAACAGAGTTCGTGGGCGATGATGATAAACACAACAGCTAATGATATAGCAGTGCTATATATTACGGGCACGGTAGAAGAAGTCGAATTAACATGTAAATGTGCCAGCATGGCGTGGCCAGATTCTCATTGTCATCACGCAATGTCACTC